CGAGTAAAACCAAGGGGAAAAGCTATACGCTTATGATAGAATAGAACATATAGCGATACAACTTTTCCCTTTTAGTTAAACTGCAATATTTGAAATCTTGATATTCAAACAGCCATATTCCAATATCATATTTTGTTGCTTAAATAACGTACATCTTGACGAACATTTTTGCTATTTTATATAAAACCAAATCTAAATAGTTGTTTTTACTGTTATATCACCTGAAGTGGCGATGGCTGATCCATCCGTTCATTTTACACCATAAAATTAAATATTATTTCGACAAATCTAACTAACTTTGAGTTGGGAATTTAGGTATATGTTAAAGATATCAAACAAATAATTACAACAATGTTAGGCCCGACACGTTAAATAAAACACCGGATCTAGTCAAATTCAATAAATCAGAAAGTCTTAACATAACAAAACAAAAGTAATATAAAGAGTTATTTCTATAATGAAGTAAAAATCTTTATTTCATAACAAGTAGTTAATACTCACTAAAAGCGCCACACAACACGGTTGATCACAAAATGGATACCATATTCCCAAATGATAAACTGTGCGAAAAGTCCAATAACAAACGATCAAAATCTCAAAAGTTCGATAAAGGAAAAAAGTTATTATCAATGTAATGTCTCATTGAGATTCAAAGCTTAAAATTAAAAACTCTCAAAATTTTAACCATCAGCACAGCCACTACACTCCGTCCATTTTGTTGCCTTAAATTTGTTTTTTTTTTTACAGTATAAAACCAAGTTATCATACAGCCATTTGAACTTTTATACTTGAATTACTTGATAAAACTTTAACATAGCGAATTATGGCGATTTTTTTAAGGTTTTCGAGGTGTCGGTTTTATTTTGGAGAAAAAATTAAACTTAACTAATTAAAAGTATTTTCCAACAGTAACCGGTATGTGATCACCATTGTCGTTATAATTACATTTTACAGAAAATTGTCCAATTTTATATTACTCACAACACCGAACACACATTATAGCTTTTCAGTTTATTTTTCTTTTTATTTAGCTAAAATTGTTACAACTGTAATATAAAACTGTATGGTTATTTTTTATGAGTAGTTTGACTACACAAATCAGGTACTATAGTGAGCTTCTATCATTATAAATTATGTATGGTTTACAATATACAGTAAGACAATAGCGCTCAAAATCTGAACAGCCTTTCCTGTCTAAGGTACCCGATCATGGGCCCGCGCCGGACGCACCGCACGCACGACCCGCAACAGATTTTAGTTAGCTTTGAATTATTTTTTTCGCGGCGCAGCATTAAAAGAGACATTTATCAATGAGCAATCCGTTGCGGGCCGTGCGTGTGGTGCGTCCGACACTGGCCAATGGACGCGACCTTTATCAGTGTTTTTCTTTAAGACCCTGACATACAACTGGCGTAATACAACACTAAAGGTACACGTCCATTAGATCACGCCGGATGCATGTACGCACGGCACGCAATAGATTTAACTTTCCCTTTTATTATTTTACACAGCTCATCGTCCTTTATCCACGGCGGCCACATTGAATGCCGACATTTATGAACAGAAAATGCGTTGCGTGCCAGTGACGTCACACGAATCAGTTAGCCGCTGACATCATCCATTGCCGCAAGTGTTGTGTTGTAACCGTATACATTAACCCACGACAAGAAAACACTCGTAACTATACAAAAAATCCGGGTAAAGTAGATGACATCGACAAATCCTTTTATTCTATTGCGAGCCGTGCGTACAGTGCGTACGGCGCGGGCCAATGGACGCCTACTTAACTGGCGCCCGCTACGCCAGTGTCGGGTGCCAGTTAGTTAGTCCTGGCGTAATTAAACTAAGAATTACCGTTAGTCACATGTTCTAAGTTGTTCGTTCTTTAAGTCGAAATTTCCAATATAAAGGAGTTTAGACCAAAACTGCTTGGTGCTTTCATTAGCAGTCTTCTCACCAAACACAACGATGCAAACCCCTTCAGTTGCGTTAGCTCCGCTTTACAACTTGGAGTCAGAAATGACTGTAATAATAGGATAATTATAGGATTCCAATTATCAAAAACAATTGATACTTTAATTTTATTATTCTTTATAAAAAAATATTCGCTCGAAAATCTTACACAATATGGTTTTAAGTCAATTCAAAGTAACTCTTACAACTAAACTGTAACCTGCTGTAACTGTAATCCGTACTTTTAGATTTACACTCTGTGACAAACAAAGAGTAACATTATAATATGGTGGACGATGGGCGCGCGATCTTGAGAATAATTACCTGAGTGTCATGTTGAATTTTTACATACTTCATAAAACACCGATGTTATAAATTCTGTAGCTCATGAGTTAGTAAATTTATTACTAAGATTAGAGATTTGAAAGTTGTTGATAAAAATCTAAATGATGAAACTGGTCGATCAAGTTGTTAGAAGTTTTAAGGTAGCAAAAGTGTTTCGGGAAAACACAGACAAAATAAACAGTATAGACTTTTCACCTAATGGCGAAACCTTAATATCGTGCAGCGAAGATGATCAAATTGTTATATATGACTGTGAAAAGGGCACCCAAATGATAACTGTTAATAGTAAGAAATATGGTGTCGATTTAATACATTTCACACATGCCAAAAATACAGCTATTCACAGTTCGACTAAAGTTGATGACACTATAAGATATTTGTCACTACATGACAATAAATACATCAGATATTTCCCAGGTCATACGAAAAAGGTTGTCACACTTTGTCTGTCTCCTGTAGAAGATACATTTTTATCTGGTTCTCTAGACAAGACGTTGCGTCTTTGGGATTTGCGATCCCCTAATTGTCAAGGCCTAATGCACTTATCAGGGCGGCCTGTAGCCGCATATGATCCTGAAGGACTGATATTTGCAGCTGGAGTAAATTCTGAAAGCATAAAATTGTATGACTTAAGATCATTTGACAAAGGTCCTTTTGTCACATTTAAACTAAATCAAGAAAAGGAATGCGACTGGACTGGATTAAAATTTTCACGGGATGGCAAAACTATGTTAATAAGTACAAATGGATCAATTATACGTTTAGTTGATGCGTACCATGGAACTCCACTGCAAACATTCACTGGACATTTGAACAATAAAGGCATCCCAATTGAAGCTTCATTTAGTCCTGATTCTCAATATATTTTTAGTGGATCTACTGATGGCAGAGTGCATGTCTGGAATGCTGATACTGGGTACAAAGTTTGTGTACTAAATGGAGATCATCCTGCACCAATACAATGTGTTCAATTTAATCCTAAGTTTATGATGTTAGCATCTGCATGTACAAACATGGCATTTTGGCTACCAACAATTGATGATGTTTAATTTTCATCTTTAGTGTCTTTGTCTAAGTACCTTATAATTTGTTATTTGACGGCAAGGAAAATTAACTTTGTATTTTATGTTAAAAAACATTGTTGTTTTCACGATATACAATTTAAATCTAATAAATTGTCTGTAAGTTCTGCCTTGCAATTGATGTTTAAAGATAGTAGGAAAATCATAAATTATTATAACAATAACTTTTAAACAATATGCAGCCATTTTTCGATAAGATTGCATTAAATATATGTAGTAAATAGTACATGCATTTAGTTTTCATTCCATGTAACATTCTATTTTATCTTATAATAGTTAAATTTTAAGATTTTCTTAACTATTAGTGTTAGTACTACTATTTAGAAATATGTATTTCCACCTAAACTTTGAATGACTTGAAATAACACAGAAATAAAGTGTTTTATTTATTTCATCCTTTGCATGTAATAGTTTTAATTTATGCACATAAGAAATAAATCTAAGTCTATAATTATAAAAGAAGAAACTGGTTGACATGCTGATAATATATTTATACCTCTAGACAGAGCATTCTTAGTCGAGGCACGAAAATTAATTGTGTTACTTTTTCTTCTTTTAATTTCTAGTAGACCTCATTATTTCATTTCGATGATTTTGCCAACGTCAATTTAATTGTGTTAGAAGGCCTCCAGTGGATTTTTTTTGGTAAATTCCCTAGAGTTGTCATTTATATAAAAAGTAAATCAGAAGAACCTCGTTTCTCATATATTTCATTTCTTATTTCAGAGTAAAGTTGAACAATATAAATAATTGCGACTTTTTCAAAACACTAATTAATTATTTTATAACAATATTAAGTTTTTTAGTTTATTTTAAATTAATCTTACTAATACCAAAAAAGGCGAATGTTTGGATGGATGGATGTTAAGTGTGTCTGTTTAAGATTGATTAGTTTGACAACTAACGCCTGTGAAATATCGAATTAATTTTGTATGGGTGTTAATGTTGTACTTAATGGACGGTTGTCATAGTGTCGGACCGTACGCGCGTAACTAAAAACTATGATCTAATTAAAATAGGTCTAATTATAAATTTAAATGAACAAATAAGTATTTTACTTTAGGTATTTTATTACTTTTCCAATTTATTACAGTCATATGGCTATATATTTTAACGCACAATTAACTAAAAAACATTACACATATTTTTGTTTGTCAATTGTGTGGTATGCAAGTGGCCAGTTTAGACAAATGATTAATTTCTTCTAATACTTGGCCGCGATAATAGGCGAAGCAAATGGAATACCTCGCCCAATCTTTGTAGCGGGCTAAAGAATTACTTTTAATGTTATTGTTGATAGCAGTTTATGGGTATGTTTTATTCTGATGGTACCGATGACATTGAGTTAAAATATACAATTGTTCATTTTTTTCATCGAGGGGAATACTTGGACATATATTTAGAATTATATTTCAGGGTGTATAGACAGACTAATTCAAATTCTTCAAATACAAGGTACTCACAAAGTATCTATCAATTGTATCTCAGAAAAAAAAAGATTTTTGTAATTATAAAAGCGTGTTTTGACATAAGTTTGACATTTGACATTCCGTTCGTTCGTTTCCGTTTCACTTTTTCCAATCGAAATGTAGTCTTCGTTCCTTATGCTTATTCTTCTTAGTGATCTTTGAAGTGAATAGGTTAAATTAGTTATAATAATTTACTTAAGTTATAATTTCATTACGAAATATACCGGTATTGGCTATTGTAAAATTATGCCACTAAGTCACTTTCTTTACGAGTGAAGTTTATTCTATGTAGTACCCAAAAATTACTATTATATCACTCCAATTATCCTTCTGTATAATTTAAATGAAATAACTGAACAATGCGAAAAGTCAACGAAAAGGCAATGAAGAATATTAATAATTACGCATCCAATGATTATGTGGATGCCTTTAGTTATATAAATGAAAGGCCAGTAGATGACATATCACTGGAATTTTTTTATAAACCCCACACGATAACTCTTTTGGCAGTTTCTATTGCTACTGTCATCTATACTGCCTTTGTAAGGTAAATAATATGTTTTGTATCAAGAAAATGGTAACTGTTATACCTGTTTAGTTTTGGAGTCACATTAATGTCTTCTTTTGTTTCAGAGATGAATCTACAATACAAGACAATATCTGGTCTGGCACCTGCTGTGTCGTTTTCTTCTTCCTCATTATATCCGTTCTAACCTTTCCCAATGGACCTTTTACAAGACCACATCCAGCAGTTTGGAGAATTGTATTTGGAGCTTCAGTACTTTATCTTCTCGCACTCTTATTTTTGCTATTTCAAAGTCACTCCACTGTAAATGAAATAATGTATTGGATTGATCCAAATCTACGAAACTTTCATATTGATATGGATAAGGTAGTTGTTGATTAATTCTACTTTTTGTGTAGTATAATGTCCCTTAAACAATTATATCATATTTGCTTATATTAATTTCTTATGACTTTTACAGGAATATGCCGTGAATTGCTCTGACATTTCCATAGCCAAAGTTTGGTCTCATGTTGATGTTTTTGCTTGGGGTCACTTCTTAGGATGGATGTTTAAAGCAATTCTGTTCAGACATACGGGCCTACTATGGGCCATTTCAATTATGTGGGAAATTACTGAAATAGCATTTGCACATTTACTTCCTAACTTCCTAGAGTGTTGGTGGGACTCCATAATATTAGATGTCTTAATTTGCAATGGTTTTGGTATTTGGTGTGGTTTAAAAATATGTAAAGTTTTAGAAATGAGAGAATATAAATGGGTCAGTATAAGGTAATCATTTAACACTATTAAAGCATGCTTTATATCATCTTTTAAAGTTCAAAAATATTCTTTTATCTATTTAAGAAAGAGTTATGTTTATAAAACACATTTATCACACAATTTATGACTGTTTTTTTCCACTTCACCACCAAGTGGAATGAAATATTAAAATGTTTATTCTGTGTGTTTGAAACATCTAAAAAAAATGGCACATGTTGGAACAAAAAGTTTGAATACAATGTGTTGGTGGTCAGGTTGTTTCAGAAAGGCAGATAATATTTTGGAATTCTCTTTTTGTCATAAGAAATGCAAAAACAATCATTTGCACCAAATATAAAAAAAAGTATTTAAATGAATAATATGAAAAAATTTGTATATGGACATCTCAATTTCATTTATCTGCATAGATAATTTTATATGGCTACTGATGAAGAATTAAATTTTTGTCAATGTTTCAGGGACATTTCTTCAACTACAGGCAAAATTAAAAGAGCTATTCTTCAATTTACACCAGTACAATGGACACCAGTTAGATGGCTGGATCCCAATTGCACTTACATGCGATTCTTTGCTTTAAGCCAGTTGGTTGTATTTTGGCAAATATCTGAACTTAATACTTTCTTCTTGAAACATATATTTGAAATGCCTCCATCACACCCTTTAGTGATTGCACGGCTGTGTCTCATTGGAGTGATTGTAGCCCCATCCGTCAGGTATGTGTTTTTAAAAAAAGTATGTTATATAGGTCAATATTTTAAAACTAAATTGTATCTATTATTCATACAAACTTGGAATTCCATTTTGTACCCACCCCTTTATGGGATATGTTTCGGAAATCCCTTTTTTAGTATTTGTCCACGGAGTAACAAGCAAGATCTAAAATAGCTGGATAAAGTTCATATAGAGATATGTTATGTACAGTAGTTATTAGTAGTAATGATCAGTTATTCTTTTTGTAACTCCATGACCAGCGTGTTTTTACATGAAGTAGGATATTAATTGCTAGAGTGTTTATATAGATTTTCAACACTAATGTACAACTAATGTTGAGAGAGTATAAATTCATACTTATAAAATAACAATTTTATGAATCTAGATTTTTTCTATTTTAGGCAATATTACACATATGTGACGGACTCAAGATGTAAGAGAGTGGGTACTCAGTGTTGGGTGTATGGAGCTATCATGGTAACTGAGTCCATGCTATGTATTAAAAATGGCAAAGAACTATTTGGTCAAGCTCAAGTTTGCAATGTTATTGTTTGGCTAGTTATTCAAATTTTAGTGTCAATAGGTTGTGTATATGGGGTAGTCTTGTACCATCGATATTTTGAGGTAAGTTATTTAATAAATTCTTTGTTACTCTTTGCCATCAAGTACAGAAATTTGCAACCAATAATTATTATAAAACAGAGTGTGCCCACTGTCCAACTGTTGTTAATTGATTTCTACATATGCTGTGCGTCACTTAAAGTGTGGTAGTTAAAATCACTCATAATATTAAAAATTAATATAGAATTTTGAAATATAGAACGCTATAACCTTATGGTAACAATAGGTTATCACTATTGTGGTTAAAATTTTATGTAAAGATTAGAAAGAACATAATAAGAAATAGAACCTCTGGTGACAACCATTAGCACCTGTATAACAGACACCTCGTTGTTGATTATATTATGTAATTTTATTTTCAGCCGTCTGTAAACTTGAATGTGGAGACCCCCAAAAAAGACAAACAGAATTAAAAAGGTAAAGTAAACCATAATAATAGTGACCCTACTTTGAACACTGAAAAAAATATTTGATCTTTTCTGTCAACAACTTTGAAGCCTTCTAGTGTTCAAATAAACCAACTTTGGATGGTTTGGAAGGTTATATCAGTGATTTTTCGGCCGCATTTCATAGTCTAAAGTAGTCTTCCGATGTATATACATACTTTGTAGACACCTCCATTTTTTGAATTTAACATATAAGGCTGGGGGGTTGTCAGTGTTTGATAACTTCATATGTGCATGATTAATTATGTAAAACAAATTATGAAAAAATTCCCACTAATATAAAATATTTTATCATGTTGTTTCAGATATGACAGACTTGATATTATTAAAATTAGATCTATGTTGTGATGTTAATAGCCTAATGATTGACTGCTAAATATTATTCAACGTATTCTAGAGACGCCAAATATAATTTATTAGATTTACTATTAAATTATTATTGTTCTGACTTCTTCCTGTAGATTTAATATTATGAAAGTCAAGTATGTGATACTGCTGGTACTATGACCAAAGTGTGTTTGGGATAGTAACTGCTGGCAATTGTTATCCATAAAGGCATTTTACCTTTGTTTTAAGCTCTAGTCTGAAGTTTAGTTTAAGATTGTGATGTCATTTAAATGATTAATATCAGACACAAAAACTTTCCATCGATGTAATTTTTGCGTAGCGACTTTAATTTTAGTAGGTTTTAATCTAATTGGTGAATAGAAATGAAATACGGATTTCTTTTCTCACACTTAATTGATGACTTTGATTTACATTATAACAGATACAAGAGTATACTGCTGATCTTGATAGAAAAGTATGAAGGAGATATGACTTAATTATTACTTTTTGAGTTAGTGCGTCTATCAAATGTATATCAATTCAATACAACATGTCAAGAAGTAAATTGTTGTTTTATTGCAAGACAGTCAAACTAAGTTAAAAAATAAAGAAATAAATATTAAATGTTTTATATCTAATACTTACAAACAATTTGCAGATAACTGTAATAAAAAAATAATATTGTATTATTGTTGCCTTGCAATTATACAACTATGTTTCGCCAATGTTTCCCATTATACTAATCGTTTCTCATAATTATATTGCCATTTATTAAATGTAAAAATTGACGTAAGAAACTTTATACATTCATACAATTAGTACATCAAATACTATTAATGGTTTTAGTGATGTGCCGGAACATTAAAATGCATAAATGTGGATATGAGTTATTGACATCGAATTGCACGGATATGGATCCTATATTGTTTCAACTCAAATTCGAGTCGTTTTTCTATTCGATTGGAAGGGTGTGTTAATTAATTATTGTTAATATCTGCAATTTATTCATAGAATGTGATAGTTAGGTGTTTGTGATTAATATTGAATGTTTTACTGTCACCCTAGTTTCGAAAGAAACTTCGAAGATCCTAATTATTCGTCCCATCTCTTGATGTCTATGTTGTCTTACCGTGGGTTTCTGACACCAAAATCTCTGTGTTAAACGTATCGTCAACCCGTCATTATCTTGGATAACAGAGAGATAGATAGCAATATGTTTTAAACGGAGATTTAGGACTCAGAAAACCACGGTTAATAATATAATCTGTAATTTTAATTAACTTAAGTCATTCCAGATATTTTTGTTATGATTTATTTATTTAGAGTTACATATATTTGAAATGAAATTATGCGATATTTATTGCGAATATCCTCTGATACGGATATTCGGCACATCACTAATTGTAATTTGGTACACATTATTGCTGAAAGTGTAAATGTCACGGGCAAATCGTGTACTTATATAACGGCAGTTCGTAAACGTGACATTTTATAGTTTGTTGCACTGTTACCAGTGCCTGCCAGTCCTTTATACACGATACAGAAAATTTTAAAATATAACATATGTTTAAAATGTTATTGGGGTTGCCACGTTACTGCAGCGCCTCCACCAAGTTTGCTGAGGCTCGAACGGATGAAAACGCTGCGCCTCTTGCTATGATAAGTGGGATTCGGCGTTGCCGGTACAAATTACAAACTGCTTACGTGACTTACCTTTGACATAGGCAGTGCGTCGCCAGGTCGTGGGGAGTGGCTGTTAAACACCCCCTCTCCCTCTAGAGATTTGAAAACTATGAAATACATATATAAACTACTTCGAATAAGACCATATTGATGATAGGTGACCCTCCCTCCTCTTCGTAGGCCTTGCCTAGATCATCGGCTGGCGACGCCCATGTATATACAGATACATACATATACCTGTCTCGAATGAATCACTGATCCCATAGCAATAGTAATGTCTTTCGTTTAACTTTAATCTAGAAGCGTTACTGACGGGTATTGAGTGTTAATCTAGTTAATTTGTAGATTAAATGTTCCTTCAAATACGTGTTGTTTCTTATTTACATAAACCTTAAAAAAAATAGCTGTTAGCCGACAGACACTGACCGTTACCAGTTATTGAGTTCCCCACCTAACACCAAGAAACATACCAGCTTTCTCGTTTGGCGCCTCCTTTTTTATATGATAAGGGTCAAACGAGCAGAGGGACCAATGAAGTAATCATAGACGCCACATTCGAATCATCAGAACAGAAAATTTTTATATAGTCAATTTGCTCCTTCTTAATCCTAATATGTACTTATTGTTTTCTTTCCAAAGTCAACATTTACCAATTGCCTCGGGAACAACACCTAGTAACTGCTGGTACCAAAGAGTATATAAAATACATGTGTGTATGTAATACCAAAAAATCATCTTTCGTACATATGGTGTGTTTGCGTAGCTGACAACGATTTTGTCTGTATATTTGTCCACATCTCCAATAAATAAATCCAAGATGGCCGCCGTCACATAATGGCAGATAGCATATTTTTCACAACCTTCGGAATGGGCATGACTACAGAGAACAACGAAAATTCCAATGGATGGAAAGCCAATTTGGGCATAATGGTAACACTCAAATCAATTATTTTTGGATGTTTTGTGATTGTTATATTGGTATTTCGTAAGTTCGCGCCAACAGTGCAAAATTTAAAAAAAACATCAAGTTTATTGAAATCGATAGTTACAAGAGAATTTCAATGGAAGTTTAGGTTGATTTGTGTAATCAAATATAACATATAATAGATGTAAACTTAGCCTCGAAAATAACACTGACATTAAGACAGGAATAGGACCACACGAACGAAGTTACTTGCGACAACGAGTAATAAATAAACTATTTAATATGTATAATAGTTTATTAAACAAATGATAAATGTTGTGTAAAACTTCACTGATAAAGAGACTATCAACTGGGTCTAGGTCATCATCACTTTCGACACTTTAATTTTCTTATATGTACATTTTACATTGGGTCAAAGTTCGTCGCCATTTTCATAGGATCTTGGTTGTTAAAAAATTAAACATCTATAAGTTGTCCTGAACAACAATTGCATGGGTAAAAGTTTTTGAAGTCTAGCATTTTATGATTTAAGGATATCAAGGAACTGGTTTTTACACTTAACATTAATTCCATTACCTTATCTAAATCATTCTTTCTTGATTCATCTTGTAAAAATTTCTTCAATTCATCATCATTTGCAAATCTCAAAAGTAAGTCATTTAGCTCTTCCAATTGCATCTTTAATTTATTACTTTCTATTTGAAACATTTTGATCTGTTCACTCCGGTCTTCATCCCGTTTTTTCAATAAACTGCGCTGTTGTTGGTACAAAGCTATGTATTCACATATTGTATCTGTTTCATTTTGCAGTTGCAAAATTATGTGTTCTAGTCTATGTTTTTCATCAGATAAATTTGCAACTTCATCCATAATATTTAAAAACCTCTCTTGCAGTTTTAACATTGCATCTTCTTTGGCAATGCTCAATCTTATTTCCTCATCATCAATTTCAAGCAAATCTCTTCTTTCATCGAACTCTTGGTTATGAACATGAATGGCATCATTTTCATTGCAATTTATATCCTTTTCTTCTTTACTAATGGAACTTTGGTCTTTTTCTTTAGACTGATGGTAATTTTCGAGAGACTTCTCATAATTATTTTCTAAAATACGGCAACTATTCTGCAATCTTATCATTTCATCATCCTTAGCCTTTAATTTGTTTTGGACACTTTTTAAATTTTCCTCTATGTCAGCAAGTTTTAGCATCAATTCCTTATTAAGTTGCTTTTCATGAGTCAATTTGTCTGTTAAATCTAATTTGTCTTTACTCTGAAATCAAACACAAACAAATTTTATTTATGTTACAAAAATATTGATGAAAAATCGCATTTAAATTTGTTACATTTATAATGAAGCTTTGTGATTGTTAAATAACTTTACTAAAGATTAACAAAACAGTCATATTTGACATAATTTTACAGGTCTGTTGTTGTCAATTGTTTACTAGCCATCGCCCGTGGCTCCGTCCGCGCGCAATTAAAAAAAAACTTTGTAGCCTATCTGTTCTTCCAGACTATGTTCTACATCTATGCCAAATTTCAGCAAGATCTATGTAGCTGTTCTGGAGATACTTTCAAACAAACATCCATCCATTCAGCCAAACATTCACATTTATAATATTAGCAAGATGGATAAGTAAAGGGTTTAAAATATACAGCAAGCATAACAGGATGGTGACACTTTACTCAGGCGACATTGCCAGTTATAATGCAATACATAATGACTGTTTTTTTAGGGTCATTATTCCATTCTGCCAGCATTACCATCCTTTGCCTTATGCAGAGAAACCATATATAGATGTAATTTACCATTTTTATAAAAGCAAATTCCAACTCTGTTAAATCAGTTTTTAGTTTTTTATTCTGTTCGGTTGCTCGCTGCGCTGCAACTTTGTCACTGGCAATGTCAGCATTTAGTTTAGATATACTTATGTTGTCCTGATCACAGTTAATTTCTTTGTTTTTATTGAAAGTTTCAATTTGTACTTGTTTTTCATAACACTTTGCTTGAAGCTCACTATATGCAGCACTTAATTCTTGAATTTTTTTCTGAAATTATTGCAAATATTACAAAACTTATCAAATATAGAATTAAAACTTTAGCAAAGCTTTTTTTCATATGTGAAAACAATACATTCAATTACTTTCAATGGAAAAACTATATGGCATATTGCTAGAGTAGTGCATATTTCACAATTTAATCTAAATCAAATAAAATATTATTGGCTTAAATAATTGCATTATGGGTTGAAGTTATCCTTTACATACCTAATTAATTTAAATAAATAACCCATCTTCTGTAATAGTTGTATAGTAAATTTTTCAATTTATATTTTGTCTATAGATTTTGGTTGAAAATAGATAAATTAAAAGGAATACCTCTTTAGTTTTAATTGTTTCTTGTAGTTTTAACACATTTTCATGTTCTTCAACTTTTTTGGATTGAAAGTTTTGAAGTCTTATTTCCATTTCACTTATTTGATCTACAAGGTTAGTTTCTCTGTTCTGCAACCTCTGAGTTTCCACACTTAATTCATTATTATTTGTTTCCATTACTTTAAGTTGTCTGTTGAGCTCACCAACATAATGCTCATAGTGTGAACTAATACTATCTCTTTCCTTTTGGAGTGATTGCATTTGTTGCTCTAAATTAGATATTTTTTGATAAAGTTGGTCATTTGATGTTTGTTCTTTTTGGTCTTGAGATACACTGATGTTAGACATGTTAGAGTTATTAGTCAATTGTTTCATCTGTAACTGGAGCACATCTATTTGGTTTTGAAGCATTGAAATATGATTAGTAAGTTGGGAATTTTCATTTTCTTTCACAGTTAACATTGTTTTTGTGAATTCTAATTGTTCTATTAAATTGGTGTTTTGTTCAGATAAAGCTGTGATTTTGCTTTGAAGATCCAATATTGTATTCTTTTGTAAAGAATTTTCATCATTTAAAACTTCATATTTGTTTTGAACAGTTTGCAATTCCATCTGCAAGCAGGAGACAGTTTGTGCATAAACATTTTGTTGTTCTACTGCTGAATTAAAACTTCTTTGTAATTCCACTAGTCGTTTTTCCAATGTTTTGACTTGTTCTTCAAGTTTAGTTTTATTAGTAATTAAAATTTCCGTCACATTCATGTCGCTTTTCTTGGGCGTTACACTATTTTTTATAAGATGATTATCACGATACGAATCGACTACATCATTAGCTGTAGTCAATTCTTTTACATTTACAATATCTTCTATCGCTTCTTTGTTTAAAGCACTATATTCCTGAGAGGAACTCGAAACTTCTGTACGTACCATTTTTTTTTCTTGGTGGTGTTTTAGCTGCAATTTACATTTATTTTTAAATATACTGACGTGTTATACACAACTCAATTTATGGCTAAAGAAGTAAGCAATTTTGTACCTTTTGCCTTGCAGCCGCTAGTTTAGCCGCTCGTTCGTCCATTATGATCTTGTGGTATTGTGTTCCTAATTGATTAATGGTTGTTAATAAAGTTTAATAAAATATTACTTTCGGAAAACTTATAAAACAATATGATAGATTTAATGATTGACAAAGAGTATGTAACTACCAGCAAAGAGTATAATACGTATACTATAGACTACCAAAGAGTATATAAAACTACTAGAGAAGAGTATAATAAGTATACTGTAGACTACCAGTAAGTACTTCGTATTTTTTTAATTTTATGACCTGGTAACATAGACCTTTAGGTCATATCTTATTTGGAAAGTACTTCGCAGTTCAACCAAAGGCATAGATTAATAACTCAGGCATAGAGCAGAGCGCCAGAGTAGTCTTTGACTGTATAGAAATGGACTAGACAAAGTGTTGCCGTTGTATTGCGTTGTACTAGTTGTCGCCCGCGACTCATTCAGCGTAGAATTTAACGAAAAGTTAATGACTAGCCTATGTGTTCATCCAGACTATGTTCTACATCTGTGCCAAATTTCATCAAGATCCGTTGAGCCGTACCCAACATATCTTCTAACATCTATCCATCCAAATATCTCATATTATTTGCATTTATAGAGAGTGCGAGTAGCTTACAGTAGAGAAGGTGAGGTGCTATACAGCTCTTTTCGAAGATGATCTAGTTCCAGCTCTCATAAAAAAATGAATCGGCAACACTGCGAATGCGTGTCTGCCAATGCCAATCTGTCAGTCGTCCCGCGTGCCCTGCAAGATATTCTTAGGAATACTGATACATATTTAGCGCTTTACAATTTTATACATCATACTGTAAAAGAGATATGAAACATGGTATCCCTGTTTTTGGAAATTTTGGATGATACTGGATTGACAAATCTACATGGATTGTAAATTCCAAAGATTATGATATAAAGACTTGGCTTTAGCCTTTACCCTTTTTTAAAATATGGAAAATTTAAGAAAATAAGACTTGGCTTCGGCCTTTATGGATTTTGAAGAGATGGAAAGAAGAAAAATAAGACTTGGCTGCGGCCTATACATTATAAAATTCTCTATATTCAAAATAAAAAAGACAAGGCTGTATGGCTTAGTTCCTTTGCCTGCTCTTTCGAGTGAATAATAAAAACAACAATCTGTCAGTATCTCTCGTTTCTTATCTTGTTTTCTTTTATGTTTTGTAGGTTATAATTCAAAGAGTATATAAAATATATTATAATTTATTATCTTGTTGTTTTATAATTACACTACACATCACACCACAACCTTTGAATATAATTTTATAACTGTAACTTCTAATATTGAAACATTCAAGCAAATGCAAAATGAATCATAGTACTTCAATTAATTATGAATTGTCACTGAAGTATTGGGCTGAAATTCCTCCGACTGTTGATGGAGTGCTTGGAGGGTTTGGATTTATCTCAAATGCTGATATTGAAGGATCAAAACTGTTCCTAAAATCATTATTTGCTTTAGATAATGGCCCTGCTCCAAATCTTGCTTTGGATTGTGGCGCTGGTATTGGCCGGATAACAAAATATTTATTGATACCAAATTTTGAAAAGGTCGATGTTATAGAACCTGATGAAAAATTTCTTAATGCAATAGCGGACTTTGTTGGTGATAACAAAAGTAAAGTTGAAACTTTATATAAAGTCAGCTTACAGGAATTTACACCAGAGAAAAAGTATGATGTCGTCTGGAATCAGTGGGTTTTAGGGTATTTAACTGATGAAGATCTTGTACTATATCTAATTAGATGCAGGTAAATTCCCTCACATTGAGAAAACATTTACTTGAAACAAATAAAATTATTAAAGTTAATATGTATATTTAATAAATTTCCAGAGATGCATTGACTGAAAATGGAGTTTTAGTTGTAAAGGAAAATGTCACCTCATCAGGTGCCACAGAAAAAGATGAGGCAGATTCATCAGTGACTAGATCATTAAGAGATTACATGAGAATTTTTAAGAAAGCAAATTTAAAAAGGATTAAACAATGTAAGCAGACCAACTTCCCTAGTGGAATTTATCCTGTGTATATGTTTGCTCTAGTACCAAACACAAGAGTACTAGAATTACCTTATACTACTAGATTGAGAAGCACACACAATAATGCTAAATAGAGCCCATATGAAATAAATAAAGTGTAAAAGGATCAAGTATTATTTTGGCTATACTATTTTATTTTATTCTAAATACTCAAAATGTTATCCATCAGTTTAGGTAGAGTTAGTTTAGATTTTGGTGCTCTACATCCTATGTAGTACTAAAGGAACTAGGAAATGGTCCTGCATTTACTATATATCGCTACTAGGTATCGCCCGCGACTCTGTACGTGCGAAATAAAAAAAAGTAGCCTATGAGTTCTTCCAGACTATGTTCCATGTGTTGGCTAAATTTCGTCGAGATTCGTTCAGCCGTTCTGGAGATACCTTCAAACAAGCATCCATCCATCCATCCATCTAAACATATGCATTTTTAAATTATTATTTTTTATATTTATATAAGATAATTATATAGAATACATTCGTGTTCCAATAATTATTTAAATAGAAATGGATAATACAAAATCGCTTCATTTTAATAAAAGTAAAACAGTTTTTTTATTCCTCCCTCAATTTTTGCGAAAGCGAGTATGACAACGTTTTGTTAACAAATTTATCTCTTTATATCCCATTCAATTGGCGACGTCGATGTGGAGGTGTGTGTTTTTCGGTGGATATCGCAAGGCAAGGCGAGGAGTGGCCACGTATAATTAATTGACAGAAATGACAATGATGACAGAAAACCTACCGCTGGCGCCACCTACTAATAGCTTTCAGTTCAGTTTTTCTCCCCATTTTTTTGACGAGAGCAAAGCTGCGAGACACTTGTGAACTGCGCTGCCTCAAGATGTGCAAAGGAGAATGACTAATCGGTTTTCTAACAAAATATCTTTAGGCCGCTCAATCGACGACGGCGAATGTACACCGCGACGGTATTCGATAAGTGCGCGATAACCTTAAGTCTAAGGCACCGTCCCAGACGCCGATGAAGGTCATTATATGATACATGATGTACACGGAGTTATATTTATATTCTTAATCTATTATCCTGTATATACAGGTATATCGAATGGTTTAAACAAATTGAACATCCATTTCTTTTTAAACATTACTTTCCTTTATTCCCGAAATACAGTATTGATTTAGTATTGGTCCGTTGCTTGTCAAATTGTGATAAAATAAAATGTAAAATGAGTAAACGTAAATTTATAAATGTTTTGATTAATATCAATCAACATTGCTGGAGAGATATTTTAAAGTAATCACAGTGATTATAATCTCATGTATTCTATGATTTAACTTGCTCCCTATTTAAAGCCTTACTTGAAGGTATTTGTCCAGAATTTCATAAAACTTTTTTTCGTCTTCGATTATATCTACGTGTACTAAAAAGAACTGTCCAAAATTTCAAGTCTACGCGTCGTCTAATAGTTTGGATTGTGTGACGCCATTTGACGATCTAGGGGATGGGACTAGTAGATTTTTTATTTTATTTTAAAGGAAACGCTTAACAAAGTATGTTCAATTTTTTTAATGGAAGTCTATTTAGAAATATATCGATACTCTACAGCAGTGCAGACCAATAGTGATTCCTTTGTCATGCATCATATCTTCTGATAGGGCTTGTGTCGATATTGAAGTTGTTAATTTTAATATAATTTCTTATAAACTCGCGATCACTATCTGTTAAAAGAGTCCAACTCTCTAGTTCTACTAATATTTCTAAGCTCATGCAACTATGGATTATTCTTTCAACAGAAGTAACAGTCATAAAGTCAGATTGCATAATACGCAATTCTCTCAGATGTATCAGTGGATTTTTCTCTAATACTTTAAATATGAAATCATCAGTGAATTGTATAGCTGTTCCAATATGAAGAAATTCTACGTTTACACAATTACTTAGCATGAATAATAACTGTTCATCAGTGCAAGTGCTCACGCACGTTAATTTTTTTAAATTTCTGAATGGTAATATATCAAGTTTTTTTGTATATAAAGATGTATGCTGTATCAATGAGCAATTGTAAAGAGTAAAATTTTCAAGCAATGGACACATTTGACTTATGTACATTAAAGCATTCAAATCGATTTGATCGACATGTTCAAGGTGTAAGCTTATAATGTTACAACCCTTAGCTTGAAGCACCTGTTTAATTTGGTCAGCATAAAAATCACATGATAATAATTTGAGATCGCACAAATGATCTAAACCTATCAATATCAAGAGATCGCTTTGCAAAGTGTTGTGGAAAACGGTCATGTTCCGAATCAAGGGACACATTTTCACCGCCAATTGTAAATGAGTATCGGTAGCGTAACGACTGACGTAAGTTTTTAATTTGAATTGCTTTAGTCCAATGTCTGTTTTATGTATGAATTCTAATACCCTACCAATCTCGTCACATCTGCCCACGTCTTCCAAATTATCGCAATGCAAAAGCAAATTCGTAAATCCTGTCCACGTAACGGACGTCCTATAGAGTTGTATGCTTTTTAATTTTTTTAGGTTACAAATGATGTCAACACTCTCATTTGATATGCATTTAGAAGAAGAAACATCTAGTGTTTCTAATTTTGGACAATTTTGTACAATACATATAAGGATGTTGTCAGTGCAATCGTAGTTTATAACAAGATATTTAAGGGAATGTAATTCTTTTAAGGATTGAATAATAGCACCCTCCATATCTGCTGTTTTCCACCCACCTGAGAGAGAACCTAAATTTAGATTTACCAAACCTTTGAGCATGTATAACTTGGCATAAAAAACTGAACGAATCATCTTAGGAATTCTATCAATAGACAGATACGTAAGATTTTTAGTGAACAGTACCTCAGACATTTTTACAATAACATTCATTTGAGTGACAAATTTTCCCATGGAAATTCTAAATCCATACGAATTTTTAGTTTTTTCTATTAAATCCGAAAGAGCTCTTATCGTCTCTTCTGCTAATGAGTCGTAAAGCATCCAAGGGACGTTAAAATCAAGATAAGTTCGAATAACGTCAATGCTCTGTGCTAGCACTACTTGAGCATTACTAATGTTTTCTTGAGCGAGTACTGTTGCCGGCGCCATTTGAATCTCTGCTTGTAACGCAATCCAATCGCCAAGTTTGCGTAAAGCTAATTTCTCCAATTTTTCTGGTTGCTTGTATCTCGACATTTTGAATCTGTAAAAAGTAATTATAGTTAATTTTAACTTCCGGCTTCGGCGCTTGTATCTAGAGAAGTTATGTAAAGGCGTGCTCTCTCTTGGGAGGGTGCTGTGTTCCTGTAGCCCCACTAATATGCACGCGAGGAACATAATGCCATTCGTATCTTTGCTTAGAATCATAACGTATTGCCGCAAATAATTGTCCTTAATCTTCAAGGGACATGTTGGTACCTTCTATTTTGAATTAGCTTTGAAATAACATGTGTATCACTATTCAGTAATACGTCGCAATAAGTCGGAATGTATTTATTATATTCGTATATTATATATATATATCTGTGACAAAAACGCACTAAAGTCAGAAATACTTATTATTTTATAAATAACTTTATTTTTAGTACATATCTTGTTATTGAATTGTGTACCCACCATTTATTTTATTCCAATGCACATTAGCTGACAAAATATATCTTAATTAATTGTCGTAGCAAATACTGCCTTAATAATTTCCTCTAATAAAACCTCTATAATCTGGGAGAGACGTTATAAGATAAAAGCACTGATCTAATTCACGGATCTATTTTTAATCACCTTGCAGAATGTGAAGTTCCTGTTACGTTGCCCTATAAATCTTTTTACTAAGAATGTTATTCCTTAAATTTGTGTGTTCTTTACCTAAAAATCATAATTATGATAACTTAATACAAAATGTTAAATTTAAATAACATTTAAAGTAAAATTATTTAGTTTGTTTCATAGAAAACTAGTGACTAGCCCAGGCTCCGCTAGATTGGCAAAACTTTTATAATACCTACGTATGATATGTTTCACACGCCCCGTAGTACGTATATGCACTCACAGGCGAATAATATTAAGATACTAGGTAGAGTATAGTTCCTCTAACGCTGAGGATAGCCTAGGCATCAATGTCCACCTCGGAGTTGATGCAGTCCGTTTTTCTGTCTTCTCTTTAAAAAAAAATTAATAATATTTCTTGTAATAAAAAATCCGTCAAATTTGACCAGCCGTTTTTGAAATTACCCGGAACAAACACGGAATTCCGGACAGACAGACTGGCAAATTTTCAAAATTAGTTATTTGTTAAAATTAACAAAAATATATAATACTATTATGTTATGTTCGCGAAGCGTGCTTATCCCATATTGTAATAATTTTGACAGTTCAATTTTATTTATCTGTAAATATATCGAGAAATTAAAACTAACAAAGTCATCCTGACAGCGTTACATTATAACAGTTTTTTGACATTGACGGCGGGGCGCCTTCAAGTTTAAAGGGTTACCAGTGAGCGAAAAGTTCCTTACTTCTTCCGAAATTCGTTCACGAAACGGCTCCAAGCAATTGATTTGCAACTAGTGTACTTAGTTTCGTTCAAATTACTTACTACTTATTAGATACATCCCCATTACCCCACAAAATTAATTTACACCACAGTTACCCCACTTGCAAAACATCATTCGTCATATTTTATGGAGTTTCAAAATTATGAAAATAGCAACATCAAACCGTACTGCTCCTGTTTCCTCATTGGTCGTAATATGATGCTGTCAAGACTGAAGATGACATTATTAGTTCACATTTTTTCCGACTGCCATAAGATCCTTATTTAACTATAATATAGTAGTATATAAAATGTCAATGTCAAAAAACTACCAAAAGATACATTCTTGGTCTTGGTCCTTGATGGACTGTAGGCAAATTGCTGTTTGAGTTGAATTGTAAAACTTGTAAGTTTATCGGACTTAGACAGCTGTGACTGTGTAATGATAAAATTATGACGCACAACGCGAATAATCTTTGTATGATGTTGCTATATCATAGATAAGCAAAAATATATTGATATTTCAGTTGTTGTCGTTTAATCTTTTCAGATTTTTTAGATTATATTGAACATTTTTACTAAACAGGTATAGAAATGACTCTACCACTCCCAATACCACCGTGTGCTAA